TGGTGTTTTTTGAGCATTATTCAAGATATAACATCAATAAATATAGAAATCCTTCCACTCCTCTCCAAAGAAACCTGCAAGTTCTCCAGTACCACCTGGTGAACATGTAATTACTCCAGCCAAGTCCCAGGGGAGCCCTAGGAAACCTCATATCCATCAGGAACTTCACGGATACGAACACGGCCCTGAAGAGAAAGACATGCACACACTGCCTTGGGGATTTTCTTTAGAACAGTCCAGTCCAAAGAGCTAAAGACATCCTTCTTAGCTGATCTTCCTCAACCTCAAAAGAGAATCTTAAACCAGATAAGGGACAGAGAGTGTGATTTTTCAGATCTTTCCATGTGACAATAAGCTGGAGCTGTGATGTACACAGGTATCCAGGATTGCTGCTTCTGTGGCACACTTTGTAACCTTCTCCTTGCCATTCTCTGTTTGGATTATTAACCTTCCTCCAATTCTCTTTAAAGATTCTGCTCTTAGCCTCTAAATAGTTATATTGAAAAAACCCACAACAGAGCATTTAACTCGAAAAGCAAACGTGACATTTCTCTTGGACCAAGCAAGAGTCAGATTAACATCTAAAAGATCTTGAAAGACTTCGGTTCAAAGTGGAGTGAGAAAGAAGGAAAATGATTTATGATGAACAGAACAAGCATAAGCCTGAGATCCTACACAAGATACAAGGAAATAATCTCATGATTGTCATCCCCTCTCTTAATCTTAGCATTCAAGAATGGAAAGATATGGATCTGAGGGGTGTCTAATCCATGCCACACAGTAAGGGTTTGCCTATCCCTGCCTGATAGTACCAACCACAGACAGTGTGAACTGAACTAGCTGCTGAGACACGCAGGTCACAGCTTCTCCTCAAAGTTCCAGCTGTGAAAAAAACCGAACATCAACTAAAAACAAACAAACCAACCAAAACAACCAACCCATTTTCACTTTACAAGCAGCCAGAGACCAGGTCAGGGTGTGCAAGGCCAGACACGATGACCCGGTGCCATCCTGCTGCTGCCAACGCTGGCAGCAGCACAGAAGTTCCTTTAAGTGCTGTATGAAGATCATCTCCAGAGCCTGGATAGAAGAGCAGCTGCCCTGAACTACAAACTCCTTTTAGAGGCTTTTTTGCTCTGACCATCTCTAAATGGTAACAGAGGCTGTGTCCAAAAGGCTCCGTTTCAGGGCCAGTGCTCTACAACTCCTTCAGAAAGGGCTTGGATGTGGGACTGGAAGGCAGACTGAGTGAGTTTGGTGACGACACTAAGTTGGGAGGAGCTGTTGAATCCCTCGAAGGCAGAGATGTTGTTCAGAGAGATCTTGACAAAACTGAGGGCTGGGTAATCCCCAGCCATGGGAAGTTTAACGTGCGCAAGTGTCGGATGCTGCCCCTGGGACGGGGCAGCCCTGGATGCACGGACAGATTGGGGAATGAGAGGCTGGAGAGCAGTGCTGTGGAAAAGGATCTGGGGGTCCTGGTGGATGACAAGTTGGATATGAGTCACCAGAGTGTCCTGGCAGCCCAAAGGGCCACCGTGTACTGGGGGCATCAGGCCCAGAATCGCCGGTCAGGCCAGGGAGGGGATTGTCCCACCCTGCTCTGACCTGGGGTGGCCTCACCTCGAGTCCTGGGGTTGGAGAGTGTCCAAAGGAGGAACACAGGGATGGGGAAAGGTCTGGGGAGCAGCTGAGGGCACTTGGCTGGTTCAGCTGGAGCAGAGGAGACTGAGGGGAGACTCCTCGGGGGCTGCAGCTCCTGCCCAGGGGAGGCGGAGGGGCAGGGACTGAGCTCTGCTCTGGGACCAGGGACAGGAGCCAGGGAAGGGTTGGAGCTGTGCCAGGGGGTTGGGATGGATCTCAGGGAAAGGTTCTTCCCCCACAGGGTGCTGGGGCACTGCCCAGGCTCCCCAGGGCAGTGGGCACGGCCCCAAGGCTGCCAGAGCTCCAGGAGTGTTTGGACAACACTCTGAGGCTGGATAGTCCCCGTGGGTCACTTCCATCCCAGGACATTCCATGATTCTAAGTGTTTCCCTGGTCCTGTGTTGAGCTCCAGGGGTTTGCTCTGTCTTTGTTTTTGTGAAGGAATGAGACCTGATGCTCAACTCCCTCTCATCTGGACAAAACACAGATCCATGGGCAAGACAGGAACTATGGCACACTTTGGTCCAGGACACCCAGCAATCCCTCAGTGGACTATCAGACAACGTTTGCATGTCACAGAACCCCTCAAAAGCTTTGCATTCAGAAAAGCACCGTATTGGGAACTCTCTGGAGGATCCTGTGAGTCTCCCCTATCCACAACTACCTGGGAAATCACCACAACTACCTGGGAAATCAGAGTTTTCAATGCTCTGCAAAAGTATTTATGTTTTCTACTTGACTGCAGAGGTTTGAGGGCAAGCAAAGCTTTCTATTAGAGCTCCTTGGACCTGCCTACCACAGTGCAGGCAAACCACAAAAGTGCTTTTCAATATCAAAAATCCCCCCCAACAGAAAGAACAGTTTTACTAAAAAGAGCACAAACTGGGAACAGAAAGGCAAATTACAGGTTTGTCTGGTAACAACTAGCATTTATTCACCCTTCAGCAAGATCTTTATCACCCACTTGTGTTTTTAATTAAACAGACCAATGAGAAAGGTAAGAAACAGCGGAAGTTTCTTGCCTGTTGTTTGTTTGCTGAGCAGTGTTCCCATTTCTGACACACACTTCAGGCCTGTATCTCTTGCTACAATCACACTATATTACTATATAATTTCTCATGCTTTAAGTAACCACTGAAGATTGTCTTAGTTGTGGAAGGAAGGGAGGAGTAGAAGTGCATAAGCACATGAGGCTCATTTGCTTTAAAAAAACCCTGCTTTGTTTCCTCCTCAGACTATTTTATCATAACAACACTTGCTTTTGGTAGAGCGGCTGAACCTCACAAATATTGTGAGGAAGGGACACACTGAAACAGGTTTTAACAGACTGATTAAAGGCTGAGTGCACACGTCTAAATTAAAAACAAATCAATAAAGCCAAATGTTCACCAAATTCCTCGATTTGTACAAAAGAGGGAATGAGGAGACACAAATACAAAAAACCCTCATGTAGGTGAGTCAGTCCTCACCTTTGCTGCTACTATTACACTGCATCTGCCAAGAATAATCATGTTTCAAACAAGGAATAAAAAGAAACCACATATAAGAGGTAATATAGGTATATTTAGTATTTGTTTGACTCATTCAACTTCATCTAGTCCCTTTAAACAGTAAAATATTTTATGTGGACTTTTTTTTTTTAAAAGATGGCCACTTAGCATACTTTCCTTGAAAACCAAATAAAGAAAAATAGCATAATTCACAATAAGATTCCCTTCAGCTTTTCTATTTCTGCTTTTACTCATGTCTGTCCTAGTGGTTGATATTTGTCAGTATAACATATTATTATGTGGGTTTTTTTAATTACTGAAGGCTCTCTAGTAGCTCAATAGTGGTAAATACTCACAGAAAGCAAGTATGGAACAAACTGCCTCAGGAGCTTTTCCACAATCCTAGAGCACTTCCTGACAGATTTGCATCAATACTCACCTACACAGAACCTCATCATTTGATTTCAGGGTTCTAGTGTGCACCATCATCTCTTAAGCAATAAAATCAGAGGAGTAGGAACAAACAATGCTCTGCCTGCTGTGTGAAATAATACCTTTCAAACCTTGGATCAATCTGTGGGTTAAGCAAGGACGTTTTCAGCACACTTTGGTAATAGAAAGAACTTTTCACCTGATGCAAGGAGCTTGTTTTAGAATAACTGGTTTGCAAACCCAGCCAGATCTGCAATGCCTGCTATAAACAGGATGCAGGCTGCACACTCTGCTCCAAAATGCACCAGCAGAAAGGCAGATAATCCACACACCCAGAGAGGCACCCATGGATCTGCTCCCTTTGTGCTTCCTACCACTGTCAGTGGATATCAAGGATATGAGATGTGGACTTGTGTTCAGTGCAAAATTTTGTGCCTATTCATAAGCAGAATCCAGTTTTTGTTGTTTTGTTGGGGTTTTTTTTTTGAGCCAACTGAATGTTCCCTCCCAGTATCAACTGAGCTCTACAACTGTTGTTAAAAGGAGACTCGAAACTAAGAGTTCTAAGTGGCTTCAGTTCTTTAAACAGTTTCACTGGTAGCTGAATATTTTGAAAACAACTCCAGGGAGGGCAAAAAAAACCCCAATACTAGAAGTAGAAGCTCCATTAAGAGAGATCTTATTTTCAATTCAGGAGATTTATACACCTCCCAGAATTTCCATACATAATGGACTTGATGCAGGAACAAGCCATATATTCACAAAGTGTTTTATGTTTGTTTTTAATATGTGAATGCAAGAATGATCACACCTGGACAGACAGATCAGGACAGGCCTGTCTGGCCTTGTCCTCTGTGTCAGTAACTAGTGGCAGATGCCCCAAGAAGAACATCCAAACAAGGTAAAGATGTAGCCATAAGTCAGAGTGCCCTGCAGCCACTCAGCTACACAGGAGCCAGAGAGAGTATTTTGGCTTTTGGGACACCCTGTTGCCCTTGTTTCTTTCAAGAATTATCTAGGGGTTTTTTAAAGCCCATTTAAATTTTTTTGCATTCACCATATTCTCTGGCAAACACAGAAATAAATCCTGAATTTAGATTATTGTATAAAAGTAAACCTCTTTATTTTGAAGGTGCCATTTACTAATCTCATGTGTTGCCTACTTAGAATAGACAGAAATTTTTTTTCCCATAATTTTATCTTGCCACAAGTGATTTTACAGATCTGTCACACCACTCCCTCATCATCTGTTTTCTAGTCTGAAGAGTTCCAGCCTGGTTTAATGACAATTTTACCAATTTGCTGATAATCTCATACCTTCCTCTGTTGTTGAAATATAAGAGAATGAGATAGAAGACTCTCAACTTATTCTTACATCCATTAATATACTGAAAATTAGGGGAACTGGCTGTTAAAAGAAGAAAACCTCCTTACCACTGGGTGGCTTGGGTCGTGGAGGGACATTTTTCTTGGGTGGTAATGCTGGTGTGTCTGATTTGCTTTTGAAAGGGTCATCTGAAAATCCCACCCCTCCAAAAGAGGAGGCAAAGGGGTCAGGAGCTGCTGACTACAGGAGAAAAAAAAGAAAAGAGAAAGGATGTAAGCACACTGGCAAACCTGTGGTTTCATGAAGCTGCAAGTTAACTCAAGTAAAAGCATTAATTTCAAAAAACTAAGATGTCCAGAATTATCAGTGGTGTAAAAGGCCAGTGACAGAGGTGCTAAGATTTCATTAACATTCAAAATAACTTATGTTCTCATCACATAATTACTTTTAGAACTTTTAGTCCCAGCAAAAAGCTGATGAAAAAAAATAAAAGGAAGTAAAACTCTACTTTTTTTTACTATTTGGCAGTGAACAGTCACACCACAGTCTAACCTCCACTCTGATAAACAGAATCATGGAAGAACCTGGAAAAACACCACAGAATGGGGAGCTTTATTCCAAACTTTTCTGAAGTTACACACAGCTGTGGCAAAAGCCCAGGGAAAATCCCAAAAGCACGTTTTTAATGCTTCCTATATTCAGTTGGCTTTTCTGAAGGACTCTCCCATTGGATAAGAAGGGCACAAAAATGATGCCATGCAGGGAAATTTATCACTGTGAAATGAAGAAAGAGGGATTTGGGGAGCAAAGGTAAAAATTGTAGTCAAACCTTGGCTAAAATTTCTACCTCCAGTCAGACACATCAATTATTGGTAAAGGCTGTTGCCACCTAGTGGAGAGTTAAAACCCTCCTCAAAATAGTATGAAAAGCTAGAAAAAAACCCCATGAAATGTAATTAGTCCAGGTGATATGATAATCTATTTTATTTTTAACATTTACATAACTCTAAAATTTTCAAGCATTATTGTGCAACTATCAGAAGGAGCTGGGCACTGCTGGAAACTGTAAATTCCAAACTCCACCTCAGGAAGGTAACAGCAATTTCCAATTATCCATTTTTTTTTTGTTTCAGGTGAGTCCTGAACCTTTCTCTTCATCTGCTCTTTAAAATGAACAGAAACTGCACACTTAAAATGTGGGAAAGGCTGACTGACTGTTAAGAGTGAGTTTACACTAAGGTTAGTTTTACATATATTTAGTGTGTTTGGTTAATGGTTGGACTTGATGATCTTAGAGGTCTTTTCCAACCTTAGTGATTCTATGGTAAGTTTAAAAACAAGTCAGGATATTATAATTCTATGAAGTAACCAAGAAGCAGATTCCAGGACTTAGAGGAAGTATATGGAATAGATGAATACTCTTCTTATCAGTTAACACTACAAGTTAATTTCTTTTTTAATTGTTTTTAAATTTTAATTCTTAATTTCTTTTGCTCATCTGGTGTTTGAAAATGTTTGTGAAAAGTTGATTTTTCCCTACTGAATCTGCCAGTCTTGGTTTAAGACTTTGCCATATCTGACCTGGATGGAAAATGTTTTGTTAAGTAACTGGTGAGGCTGATTGGGAAAAAAAGGAACAGAACTGGGTTGTCAGCTGAAAAGTTACAACCATATCACACACTTCAAATAAATATCTGTACATACATTTTTAAAAGGACAGTTGCTTTCCTGGTAACCTTTACCTTTGACATCTGACTGAAGTCTGCAAATCCCTCCCCACTACTGAAAGCACCACTTCCAAATGGATCCAGTGTTCCAAATGGATCTGAAACAGGTACAAGGAGAAAGAAGTCATTTTGAACAATACTTAAGAATGACAAAGAATTGGTGTTGCCAATGAAGTACAAAACTGGGCAGGTGACTATAAGACACCTGTATTTTGACCTGCCATGAGATGTTACAAGAGAATTCCATGAGACAACAGGTTTTGTACCAGTTGTTTGGAGGGGAAAAAAGAAAAAAACTGAAATATATGGTGTCACAAAGACTTAGTCTTATAATCCATAGCAACACCATGATGCTTTTTGCCAACAGTGCATAAAACTCTCTATTTTCAACTCCTGTATTTGATTCTTCTTTCATAAAAAGATACCTTCTTATTCATCTTCATGAGAAAATGTTTTCTTCTTACCTGGACCTTTTGAAGAGATACTGGAAGACGTAAAAGGATCAGTGCTTTCAAAAGGGTCAGGCTAAATAAGAACAGATATACATAATTATTGTTCTGCTGTACTGTGCACTTGCCTTTTTATGCATATCAAAATCACAATTATTTCCAATTTCAGATCACCCTGTTTGGTGGAAGTAGAGCAGGATAAAATCAACTGATTATCTGAAATTTGGCTATTGATGGCCTTGAACAAAACACCAAGGACCACAAGTGAAAAGGGCATCCCACTGAAATACAACCTTAGTTACCAGGGCAAAACATGAAAACACACCCAGAAGTGTTCAGTCTTTAAGCAACAGCAATATTCCAGTCAGGCATTTATATTATTACTAATCCAGAGTCTGTATCCTGTTTCTTTTTAAAGAGATTGTGTTCATAGTTGCTCTTCAGTTTGACAAGTTGTACTTTTATCCAAGTACAATCTTATCCTGCAAGACAAACTACCCTCCCACTGACTGAAACTGGAACACTGTCCTAACTCTTGGGTGGCAACAGTCAGAGAATTGCATAAGAGGGAGGGAAAGAATAACAAAAATAAACCAAAAAATCTGTCACCTCCCAACAAGCACACACGTGCATCCAGACAGGTTCAGAACTGTGACTATATATATATATATATATACATATATATATATATATCTAATCTCATTGCAACTGTGATTTAAAAGTGTGTTCTCTGCAATCCTTCCACTGTCCTGGCTCCAGTGTCTGCTGGGGGCTCAGGAATCCTTTAGCCAGAGCAGTTCCTCAATTCCATTCACTGTGTGACTGCACAAACCAATGGAATGGAGGGAATGCTGGGAATTAGTGGGTGATGGTGGCTTGAAATTCCCAACAGAGAGGAAAAATATCCACCTTACTGCACCTCATTATCATGGAACCAGAGAGAACACTGCTGATTGCCTCAACAATACATACTTAAATTTTAAGAGTAAAATTAATGATATTTCACCAGTTAGGAGAAAAGTATTTTGTGTTTTTTCACTCCTTTTAGATTTCAGACAAGAAGCCTGCCAAGAGTAAAGAAACCTATTAAGTGTAGATTTAAAAATGCCTGACCTTTGAGGGTAAAGCAGGGGGCTTTGTGAATGGATCTGAGGTAAATGGGTCGCTCTTCACTGGTTTCTTGAAGAAATCCTCAGGGGCAGAACTCCGAAATGGGTCACTCTCCTTGAAGGGATCACCTCCAAAGGGATCTAAAAGGAGCATGGGAAGGTAAATAGAATATATAGAATGTAGCACCTAATGTGTCTCTAAAGAACATTCTGTATTTCACCTCATGCTCACTGATTTTTTAGAAACATGCAGTGATTTGGTAAATGATTCAAACTTCCAGAATCCTCTCCAAAGAGGATATTTGCTAAGTTTGAATTACACACTTCACATTAAAATGCTGATGATCCTGAAGGCACAAACCTGTCAGGTTTTTATGTTCCCACATGCAACCCAAAAACCTGAAGCCAGGGAAAACCTGGGAAATCTTTGTGTTTGGCTACAAATTGTTTCAACCACACGTGTCCTGTCCTCCAAAAGGTTCTTACCTGCTGGAGCAGGGGGCTGTTCTGCAAAAGGATCATGCTGGAATGGGTCACCTATGCAGGACAGAAAAATAATCTTATTAAAATACTTTTATTAAATAGTTTTATATATATTGTATTATTTATATATAATATATTATATATTATACACATAATTATACAATATTTTATATATTATTTTATATACTATATAAGTATATTTATATATTACATATAATCATATTTATATCATATATAATTATATTTATATATAATTATATTTATGTATAATATATAATTATATTTATATATTATATATAATATATTTATATATTATATATATTTATATTATATTATAAAAAATAATTTTATCCACTATTTAGCACGATGATAACAGTTTGTGAAAACATCATTTACTCAACAATTGGCCTGTAAAATTTAAGGTCACTTACTGCCTTTGAAGGGATCTGCTCCCTTAAATGGATCAGATTTGAAAGGATCTTCTGACTGGAATGGGTCTGTATGCAATTCTTGTGTATTATTGGTAAACATCAAGGCTTTGTTCTTAAATGGATCATCCTAAAAATTAAGAGGAAAAACATCATAGCAACTCTACCAGGATGAAAACACTTAGTTGACACAGAATTTCTTCTAAATGGGTATCTCAGTTCCTGTTTAACAAACTTAAAAATTACTTTCTGAAGAAGTTTCTTAGAATACATGACTTCCAAGCAGAAGTCATTACACACTGGAAGGAAACACGTAGCCCAGGGCTACAAAGAACATCCAAAGATAACAGTGCATGCAACATTTAAAGGTTAAACTGTTGCCCATATTAAAATATTCAATTCTCAAACACCTAAATAATGAAAACAAATCAACCCCCAACCATCACACTGATAAAAATATTCCTTCCCTATGTTACTTTACAGCTCAGCTTCAGGTAAGACACTTATTGAAAAGATAATTTTTATGGACTATTTGTGGAGTACAAATACAAGGGATTACTACTGAGTGGTCATGCTCTAGATTGCT